CAGGTAAGAACGATCCCCAATTATGAAACCTGGATCGTGGTTCCTTTGGCAGTTAACAGCCAACAAAGATGTACACATGATGACCTATGTTTCGTTATTTTAGCAAACTCCATTTTTGCATATTTTGTTCGTCACATTATTATAACATGCGCTGCTCATTGCCAGTCACCTGGTATGGTTCCAACCCTAGCCAGACACCCCTAAAGTATATTTTTTAAACTTTTTTACTTTCGTTATATTAGGAAAGCTGAATTTGATACACATTATACAGAGAGCTATAAAACTGTGTTTTCCAGCACGCCAGACAGTTTGGTCGGTTCTATCATCCTGCCAGACGCATTGAAAGTGTTAAAAGTTGCAAAAGTTAAATTGTTTAAACATGAAATTTTCAGAAAACAGTTATCGACGACAGTGATGATTATTATTAAATATTTGTTCAAATAAAATTACTATTATGCGAAAATTTCATGTATAAACAATTCAATTTTTGCAACTCTTATACACTTTCAATGCGTCTGGCAGGATGATAGAACCGACCAAACTGTCTGGCATGCTGGAAAACACAGTTTCATAGCTCTCTGTATAATGTGTATCAAATTCAGCTTTCTTAATATAACGAAAGTAAAAAAGTTAAAAAAATATACTTTAGGGGTGTCTGGCTAGGGTTGGAACCATACCAGGTGACTGGCAATGAGCAGCGCATGTTATAATAATGTTACGAACAAAATATGCAAAAATGGAGTTTGCTAAAATAACGAAACATAGGTCATCATGTGTACATCTTTGTTGGCTGTTAACTGCCAAAGGAACCACGATCCAGGTTTCATAATTGGGGATCGTTCTTACCTGTGCCGGAGAAACACATGGACAAAATTTCATCTTTCCTAAAATGACGAAAGTCTGGCCGTCACTGGCTCTCGCTCTATATGTATTCATATATAAATTAACTTCTTACTAATTAAATTATTTATTCTTAATTACGCTGCCTTCGCACGTTTCTTCATTTTATTTAGTCAATGGTCTACCGTTGCTAGTCCAAATTCTTTGATTTATATAAGTCGACTAATCATTTTTAGAATTTCAGATTTATCTCGCAAATGTGTAAATCGACGTAAAGTAGGTCGGGCGAGTGCATTAAGTTCGTTATTAAAATTTAATTGGTTTCGAAGTTTTAAGCAACTTTGGTCTAACATTGAAAAAGTTTGAATGTTACCCAAATAAATCAAGAAACACTATTTATCCAGGTTTCATTTAATTTCATTCACGTATATTACAAATGCAAAATCATATTTGGATTTTGATTGCATGCAATTATAGTTCAAATCAAAATTAATAATTCTGACTAGAACAATGGTGCAATTGTAGGTATTTTCATGTTTGGTTATTGTTGAAATTCTTTCGGGTTCGTTTAGTATATGTTATGCTAATGACTTGCCATGTGAATAATGCAAGAGATCCGATATCGTGCGTGCACCTAATAATCTAAACGCTCGAACACGTTGCGCGAGAAATTTGAGTTCTAGTCGATAAAAATCGATTGCCACATTAGTGATTCATATCAATACATCTTCCGCTGACAGATTTATTTCGTGCGTTTTTACGAGTTTGGCGGCGTCAGAACGCGATCAACCGGCTGAGTTATGCAGATTGTTATTGAATTAACATTCGGAGTGTTTTCGATGTTTTGTAATATCTATCACATTAATTCTGCTTTGACTGGGATTTTTATGTATATCGATATGTTTAATATTGCATTATTTTTATAAAGTTTTAAATAAAACCAAACAATCGGCAAAATACTAGTATTTTTTCTGTTACACTATATAAATAACAAAATATTACGACTTTATATTGACATTGATTGTAATCATCCGCAATTAAACTCAAATTAATTATATTTAAAACATTTCAAGAGATAAACATGTTGTTAAGATGGCCTATAACTCCAAAATAAGTTCAAGCTCAAAGAGGCGAACACATATCCATATTGGTCACGATCGACAATTTGTAATTTAATTACGCGTAATAAAGTTTATATCTTATTAAGTGGTCTTAATCGCGGCCGTAAAATTTAATTAAACGTGCTGAGATTAATTGCCGGTACACCTACATCAAGCATGCAGCATAAGAAAAGCAAACACTATACTAGACATGTACGAGTGTGTGTGCGATACAATAAAAACGAAATGTCAGTGGAACTTAAAATTAATGAAAAACAAAAATAAAGATTATAAACACTGAGTCAATAAAATAAAAGATCTTTCTCGCTATGATTATTATTATGACTCAGAATAGTTGTACATACTTTCATTAGTGAATGTCATTTTGAATAGACTTATCTTATAAGTATATTCATTCATTTTTCGATGTAGATGTCCAACAAATAATTATAAAAGTTAATCAAAATAAATACTAATAATCATGCTCGCATCTTCATCATCGTGGCTTGAAACACCTATGCAGATTTATACCTATGAGCACATTTGTTGGTATGAGTGCCTATAATAATAATATGTGACCGAATTAATAAAGTTGAAGGCCATGTGAACCGAGAACTGGCAAACTGAACGGTCTGCTCGTCTATGAAAACTCTTGTATCTGAGTCGGAGTCGAGTTGATTAACGAATTGCACTCGCCCCGCGGGTATAGGTGATGTTACGACATTTTTTTTGTTCAACTGCCGACTGACATAGATGAAAAAAATGTATTGATCGGCCGGATGTGGCGTAAAAACAGTTTTCATGTTGATTAAAACCCGATTTGGTTTTGAGGCGCAAATTATAGCAAATTATTAACTAATATGTTTCAAGAGATGATTCGACCGGATTTTATTTTGTGTGTCAGTGTGAGATTTATGGCCGAGAATTGATTTTTTTAGTACTTATTTAATTTCAAACTTGACCTTTTTGATTTTATTTACTATTTTTATACCCAATAATTATTTTAAGAAATATAAAGTTGGTAATAAATATGTTTTTGTACTTGATCTCTAGTCTTATTCGATTAATTTCATCTCCTTTTCCCCTTGTTAAAATATTATTCTGCAAACAAATTGATTATTTGATGTGCACGCGGGTTGCACGCGTGGCCGAGTGATTTAATCACCTTGAAACCGTAGGTGATACATGCACAGGCGTGATTTCGGCATCGATTCTCTCGCGTTTTGCGGCGCGACAAAGACGAAGACGACGACGCGTTGCCGACGATCGAATTTGAAATAATATAGGTTGAAAACGTTTGAGCGTTGAGTTTCGTTTCGTTTTACGCATTACACATTTTTATTGATATGCGTTCAAGGGCAGGCCGCAAGAATCACTGTCGACGGCCCACTTACATAACGCGAAATTATAGCGCGATTGCGACACGTTTTCACTTCGCCGGCCCGCACAGCAGACATTGAAAACCCGCGAGAACAATTTCGAGCAGAAGAAAAGAAAGATTGGACTATTAAATGCGCAAATGAAAGCAAGAAATTATATATTTGAAACTTTTCTGAGTAAAACATTTTGTGTTTCCTAGAATTACCTATTCAATGCAAATATCTGAATTTTGTTTGGAACTATGTTTGACATTTTAAAAATTGATGATTTATGGAAAAATGTAATTCTTTTTGCGTGTAGAATACTCGTAGGCATCGTAAATGTATGTTAAATTTTTTTGGCGCGTCGTGCGCGACAATTAGCAATAAATCTCAGCGGTAAATCGCGCGGGGATTTCGCATTACATTAGCGTATTCGGAGCGCGCGTGTAGGAAAAAATTGGCGCAATCAGTTGTAAATTATGCGAGTTTAATGACATCACGATTGCGCTCCTTGAATCATACCGAGCGCGTAAAAATCACTTTCGTTTCATAACACACACAAAGATTGACTCGCAGAAACCGCTTAGCTTAGTTTAGCAGAATAGAATTACCATTATGATAGAATGCTAGTTAAATATGGTTTACAAATTAGATAAAACTTTTTTACTTCAAAATTTCACATTTTAAACTAGCTGTATCTTACATTTGAGAATAATATTAATAGATTTTAGTTAGAAGGTAAATGATAGAATCGTAAAATTGTAAAGTTGTAAAATTTATTGAAAAAAACATTAAATTGCATAGTGCGAGCAATAATTTTCAATTACAACCGTTATAATTGCTTTCCCAAAGATTGTAATCTATTCACGTGCAGCCAGAAACATTCATGAACGTCTGGGTTAACTGTCATTTTATAACGAATACAAGCATATGAAATATGGCGTTGAGAAGTTCAGTACAGTTAGTAGAAAATGATATACATTATTGCACAATTTCGGAGCCAATTGTTGACTTTTCAAACCATATAAACACGCAATAAACCAAAAATAACAGCACTTTAAAAATCAGATCAAGAAACATGTAATAATTTCATAAAATATTACTATTCTGTGAGAATCAAACTAAGGCATTACCAAATTAATTTTCAATTTTTGAGTTATTTTGTTAGAAATTATTTTCAATGATTTTGATTTAATTGAAATGCAGTGAACTATAGTTTGGGCTATTAATTCCAAACGAAATCTAGTTCGTGGCTACTTAGTTAACTAAACTACTGTTTGATGTGTGGTTCACGTTGAAAGGTGCGGTGCCTTTCAATTCAACACTGCAACGCGCCAAATTCGTGATAATCGTGATTCGAAAATCATAACTAATGGAAATAATCATTACGATCGCAGCGAGCATAATAATCATAATAAACGTAATTAATTTTGAAGAGTACGAATGTCGGTTAGTGTAAGAAACATGTCTAAATATGGCAACATATAAATGTTAACAATACAACAAAAGATCTAATCAAGAATACTAGGCGCTTTGGTTATGCACATTATCATTCCTTAGTTATTTAAAAATGGCACATATTATGTTTTAAATTGACTGACTGACTTTAAGCTGACTTTATACGCATCTTTAAACGAAGTATATTGTTCAGAAATCTTTTGAGTACACAAATGATATATTAGTATTTTTGTTTTTTTAGTCTTTGGGCCATGTGAGCGGCTGTCACATTAATCCTGCTGTCACATTTGGTTTACTCGTTACCGGCGACATCAAGCTGATCAAGGCGCTCTTTTACATTGCGGCACAATGCATCGGAGCTGCAGCTGGATCAGCTTTACTCAAAGTAAGTATTATAATGTTGATAATAAATTTTATTTTTAATTTTAATTTAAAACACTCCTTAAAATATTAGCATCTCCGTAATCAATAACCTACACTCTCTAATGTGATCGAATTAGTTATTACGTTTTAAAACATTTGATTATTGAGACATTTAACACTTCTTGAACTTGAATCAATGCGGAAATGCATGGTCGTTACGCATCGTCGCCTTCATCGATGTGTAAATCGCGGCGATATTTTCATCGCCCATTGGATGACTGGCAATGCGCTCGGTGATTTACACAAGCAATTATTTATTGCGCGGCGTTGCCCGACAGGTAAATACATGTAAAGCATGCACGCGCGACTGGGTCAGCGGCGCGTGTCCAGATAGGAAACGTCGATACGCACGGCTGGCCATCAAGTTCAACGCTCAATGTCTTCTCTTGTTGCTAACGCAAATCGTGCGGAATGTAAATATCATCCAAGTAATTGCTGTCACCGAAGACGCTCGAGCAGTATAAAAAGACATGCGAGAAGCGCGGACGTAAATTTCACCTGCAATGGCATTCAAGGAATTCTTCTTCAAAAAGTTATTGAAGAAATGTTGCAAGAAGATGAGAGTTTGATGCATGATTGCCATCCGGCGCAAATGTTTGACGGATTAAAGTGGTTAAAGAATTCGACATAAGTTTCTTTGTGGTCAAGAGGAAGAAATTATAGTAAAAAGAAACTTGATGAAAGTATTTCATGCCAAAGAAGAAATTTGTATAAATTTCTAATTATTTATGAGCAAATACAAGATTTTGCACAAATGCAATAAAACTAAATTTAATGTAGAAGTTTTGCGGTTTTGTGTGAATAGTTGAAATTTAATTTAATGCGAAAATTGAATTTATAGAGAAGTTTCTTTAGAAATCACCACATTTTTAAATCAGATATTTACTTAAATCATATATTAATGAAATGATATTATTCCAGTTTGTAACACCAACTAATGTACAAGGAAATTTGGGCAGCACAACCCTTAATCCAGACGTTCTTCCATTCGAAGGATTTGTAGTCGAGGCACTGCTTACTTTCCTTTTGGTTTTCGTAGTCCAAGCTGTCTGTGATCCGCGCCGTAAAGATATCAAAGGATCAGCACCGCTTGCTATTGGCTTGAGCATTACTGCAGGACATTTGGCTGGGGTAATTACAAACGTTAAAGTCTAATAAAAAATAATACTAATATTTACATTTTAAATTAGATGAAATACACGGGATCCAGCATGAATCCGGCAAGAAGTCTTGGACCTGCTGCTATTATGAATCTTTGGGAAAACCACTGGGTAAGTCTATTAAAATGTAAAACATAATTTATTCTAGAGGTTAAAAACTAATTCAAATGTTTTGTATTTTTTAAATTTGAATTTAATGCAATAATTTACGTGTGTAAATATCAGCGCTATAAAATGTTAATCTTTGAGCAAATAACGTCGTGAGAAAGTTAAATAAAAATAAATGCATCCGCGTTTGAATCCGCAATCATGAGTTGACCACAAATTAATTCATATGAAATGTGCTAATTATAAAAAGTACACAACGTGCACAGATTATTTATATTACTATTTAACTTTATTTAAAAGTGAAAAAAGTTTGCGGTATGATCAATTATAGTCTGCGTTAAATATACATCAGTTTAAAAAAAAAAATAGTGTATAACCTTTCTAAAGTTAAATTTAATGCAGCTATTAAAATTTTATTGTTTGAGTTCTTTAGTTGGAATCCTATATGATGAAATTTTAGTTGCAAGTTTTTGAAATCATCTCATCATTTGAAATTTTTTTGGTTTTAATTTTGGGCAATAATAGATTAGTAATTTGAATTTTTTATTTTAGATTTATTGGGCTGGTCCAATTGTTGGTGGAATCCTTGCTGGCCTTATTTACAAGTTTCTCTTCAAAGTGCGAAAATCTGAGGACGATTCGTATGATTTCTAAACATATCGTAGCTCAGCTAGTGGGCAACTCGTCACCAAAAATTCACAATAAAATTTATCATCAATTTCTTTTTTCGTCACGTTTGATCAACAATGATTGTGACGATATTTTTGTTGTTTATCGTAAACGAATTATTTCGGAATAGTGTACGTAGTATCTATTTATGCAATCTTACTTGATAATGGATTATTGTTGACACAAAATAAGAGAAATACCATACGAGCGCAACTGAAAATTGAAGACAAAAATGAAGAATATCAGATATAAAACATCAAACCAAAATTGTATTATATGTATTTATGAAGCGATTTTAGATTATAAATTATATTATCTAGAAATTATATACTTATAACTTTAAGGTTTCCGAAAATTAAAAATATACTTACTGTGTTTTATATAGTTATGTAAAATATTTGTATGTACTTTACAAATAAATTGTATCAAACATGTTTGTTATTTTGAAGTAACTACCAATGGTTACATCATATTTTTGTTCAATCTTTTAACCTATTAGAAGTACCTTAAAGTATCCATCAAACATTTTGGAAACACTTTGTTTAAAACACCCAGTATTTCGTGAACTAATTAAGTTTTTAGAGTTTCTTTCCATATTTTAGTTTTATAGACTCTCTATTCAATGCATGTATTTTCAACACTCAAGATTGTTCAGCAGTGTCCTAAAATGCCGTTTATAAATTAGCATTGCTCTAAAAAATTCGAAACCTGCTGTAAAAAACGCCCTATATCTCGTGATCTAATCCATTTTTGGAGTTTCTTACGATCATGTTTTAGTGTAAGTGGTCCTCTACACGGTGTATATCCTTCTAACCATCTAAACCCTTCGAAAGTGCATTAAAATACCCTTCACAAATCGCAATTTTTTCCACAAAAAAAAATTGTGTTAAAGGATCAAACTTATTCGAAATCCGACTTCACCATAAATAAATGCTTAATTTGCGATTATCTCGCAAACTAAAAGGGCTAAGAAAAAAGGGCTTTATATTCGTGATATATGAAAACTTCTAATAGATGGCATATATATTGCAAAATGAACAATTTTGAATTAAAATAATTAAAGAAAACAGGTGATCCAATAAAATTGTGATTTGGGCCTAAACGATCAGTGCTAGAGTAAAATTATTTGTAAATATTTAACTAATAACTTTATAAGCTATCAGAATACTAAACACTAATTTTTATTTCTTGATAAACAAAATGTTGAGTTTGGCGCCCTTTCACTGGTGGCGCTGCGCAATCTACCCCAAGTAGCTTAGTGGCTTTCCAGCCACCTTGTGTTTTGTTAGTAAGTCAGTTAGGTTTGTGACTTAAAATATTCCACCGTGTCGGGGCCCACTCTCTGTTTTTTAATCCAACTACCACCCCAAAAATCTAGATAAAATTGTAGGAGGATAAACGTTGGTAATCTTTTATGTAAAACTAAGCAACATTGTATTATTAATTTAATGAAACTCTTCTGTAAAAATTCACTTTGCGCAACACAAAAGTAAAATGTACTTTTTTATGACAAAATCTTTCCTTTAATTTTTTTTAAGTAAATTTGGTCGTTTTTCAATAATTATTCCATCTTGTACAGAATTCTTCAATTAGTAACAATATGAAGTCCTTTCTTTCCTGAAGAACATTTCCTTTTGAACAAAAAGGATTTTTTTTAAGGGCATTTAAGAACATTTCCTTTTGAACAAAAAGGATTTTTTTAAGGGCATTTAAGAACATTTCCGTTTAAAGGGTTGAAAGGGCATGTTTTCAAATTCCGGAAAGATACCTTCTTCTAAAGCGCATTTTAGGCTACTTCCGAACAGTTTAGAAAGTTGGAAGCGCATGCAGGGTATAAAGAATCTCTGAAACTATGCTGCGAAAAGCCCCAAGAAAGTGAATTAGTACATGAGGGAATTGGGGGAAAAAAATTGAAAAGCTCATACTTAATTGTAATTTTTTATTAGAAAAACAACTAAATTCATTTAGAGTATTTACATATATTATTTGTTTCGTTTTATACAATATTAATACACAATTTTCAGCATCAAATATAAATGATTTCACATTTTTGTCATTGTTTTCATCCTTCATTAAATTTTCTTTCTTAACTTATTATCATTATTATGTCTGTGTGTCTAATGATACTTGTAATACAAATTCAATTGAACAATTTATTAGCAGTGTTTTCAATGTTCCTCGAAAAACTCCACGGAATTGTAACAATACATTTGTTCGGCGCTTTTTTTTATCTTGGTTTCAAGCGCTAAAATTAATTGAGAATAATATAGCAAACCAGAATTTCATTTGTCACAATCATATATCACAATTGCCTGAAGTTAACAACAATCAATATGTTTTTCGAGAAAAAAATGCTTTTTAGAATTACATAAAATACAAATTCGTCCACAAGTAAAGCAATCAAATGCATGACAACTAAATGTTTATGTTCGTCCGCAAATTTGTTTATTTTACGAGTAGTAGTTCTTATAGTCCTTAGTTGAATATACAAAAATAGCCGTACTTTTCGCACACAATGTATAAATCGATTCATCTCTCCTTTTTAATCGAAATTCAAATCGGTGTTGAGATCGCTTTCGCGTTGCTGCTGCTTATCTACGACACGAGTAACGCTATGATATATCCCGCAAAACGAAAATGCTGGTCGACATTGGTGAACAAAAACGTTCTCATTCGCACTTCACAATCAAATAGAGAGTATTGCTAACTATTAAAATTATGTGGCACAATTTACGAAAAGTCAAACGAAATTAACGCTTTCAAAGCGAAATTATGCCACACGCACAAGAGTTCAGATTGATAACAATGATTGCATAAATTATGTTTAAAAATGTATCCAAGTAAATGCACATGGCGCACATCTAGATAGTGTGCACTATGGTTTGGTTGAAACAACGTTTAAATGCGTTCAAAATCGATAAATAACTAAATTAATTATGGGCTTTATGGTAAAAAATTGATGCTAGCTTAGGTTGGCATCGAGTAAAAATTAGGTTCTCACCGTGAACAGAAATCGCTGAATCATGGCTTAACAACTTATTGCGTAAAAAACAACTTATAAATATATTTGGCATACTTTAATAACTTAAAATCTATAGCAATAATTACAGGAAAATTTGATTTGTCCGCATTTGATCAAAGATTTGTTCGCCATCACTGATAATAATTAAAAGAAAAAACTCAATAGTGTGAAAATGGAAAATCGCAATGGTTTGCCAGGTGAGAACCATATGAATCGCCAATGAGCAAAAAGTAAACTTAACTTAACGGTATTTAAAAATCGCTAAACAATGTGTAATAAATCAGCCTTTTTCATCATCAATTATAAAACTACGATAGGAAGCTAAACAACGAACGAATCATGTTTGTTCCTATGCTCATTCGTCACTCCTAATACAAATAGTTGGTTTTCTCTTGAAGTAATAATAATTATTATAAAAATTAGTTATTTTGTTTGAATTACCTAACTAAAAAATCCATCCGCCTACGACATTCCCCACCACGTGCCGCATCATCGCTTGAAACGAAATAATAACGTGACTACGCTTCGAATCAAAAAATGCACCCGTTTGTTCAACCGTTTAGGTTTACTACACGCACTGTCGCACCGTCCCGCCATCATCAAGCGTCCATCGTCCAAGTTTTCGTGTAGCAATCACAGATAGCTGCATCCGCCTAAGTGCCGGACGAGCCAGGCGCCGCGTAGGGCGGCCCTTGAAAGTGGAGGTTGGCCATGGGAGCGCCGGGGTATTCATACTCGGGCGGCGGCGAGACGCGAGGCTCCCTGGCCTGCCCCTCGTGTCAGACCTTGTTCATCTCGAAGTTCCGATACGCGTTGGCGTAGCCGTCCTGCATTCGACCTCCTCCGGCTTGTGGCGCTGTCGCTAATGGATAATAATCTGCGTGTAGTTGGTAAACAGGAAGGAAAAAAACAGAAAGAAGAGCCCAAGTTAGTTGTGTTCGTGTTATCATGAGATACCCATTAATTATTTGATCAAATGACGATCAATGAATGAAAACTGAAAATAATAAATGAAAGGAATAAAATGATAAATGTGCTTTTGAAGTGATCAAATTTGAATCAAACAAGTTCTTCGTTTGCGTGAATGTGTAGAGGGTTTTAAGCGATTGAAAACAAATTTAAAACAAGGACGGAAATAATGAATATGATTTGTATTGTTACCTTTCGGTGCACTATGATGCTGACCGCGACCATCGCCGAAGCCTCGTCGTGGTCCGTGATTGGCAGTGGATCGACCTGAGCGACCTGGGCGCCCGCCACCTTCGGGATGATGCCCGTGATGACCGCCTCCGGTGGCACCTGCGTGATGTGTGCCGGCGTGTGGATGCCGCATTCGTCGCAGCGTATTCATCGGCCGACGTAATGTTTCACTGAATCTTCTTGCGGGTGGTTTTTCGGGTTGGACGAGGGCGTATGCACTGCACAGCACTTGATAAACAAGCCCATAAAAATGATGAACCCAATTCCCATCAGCACCACCGCCCACCAGTATTCCGTCACCCACCCCGCAACGTTCAGCAACGTTTCCTTGTTCAGCAGGAGATTCATTAGTCGCACTAAGGGCCCATCAGCATCAACCGCGCGACATTTAAGGAACACATCACAGTAACCCTGCAAGCAAAATTTAAAGAAGTGAATACCTCCGAAAACAAAGTTAAAGTTATAAGCATACCTGAAAATTGTCACATGGTGATCCAGGTCTTAAACTAATCCCACCCGCTGGCAACCCAACAAGATGTGCAAATTCGCTGGTGCTTCGACACTTATCCGTGCCGTTTTGACATGCCAGCTCACAAAGTTTCCGTTTGTCGATGTTAGGCACATCTTGAGAAGTCAACGAACATGCCTGCAGGTTCCATTCCAGACAAATTGAACCCCTGCACTCGCCGTTAATGCAAACTTGAGTACCATTATTGCAGCGCGTCATGTTCGCGCGGTGCTCCGGTTCAGGACAATCTGCTGAGAATCCATTGCATTTTGAAGAACGGTAGCAGTCGGATTCAATCTTGCACACCTCGTGCTGCCACGGGGAAATGAACTGGCATGTATCGCCATTACAACACGGTCCTTGAGACGGACTGCACTGTGTTTTCGCACGGCGATGGCATCCACGAGCGCTGGCATTGCGGCGATCTTCGACACTCAACAACCGAGGGTAGCAACACTTGTCATTGCACTCGGCGTCGTCGTACCCACAATCGCACTCCTCCCCAGCCTCCACAATTTTATTACCACAGAAAGCGCCCGCTGAAGCGGTGAAACAATTGCGCTTTTTACTGTCGTTGATGGCATCGAGCACGTTAGAAATATTTCCGATACTACAAGAGGAAAACTTGCTGTTGTTTGGACGGTCACCACTAGTCGCCGAGGCAAACATAATATAATTCCCACCAATTCCGCCTGGACGACATTCAGGTGGATAATCATGCTAAAATAATCACGTTTAATTTATCGCACGAACTCTAAATTTAAAATAATTTCAATTAGATTCAGGACTTACAGGTGATCCAAAATTATGTCCAATTTCGTGAGCCAGAGTGAGTTGACTAACTTTAGGCGGCACGCGACTATTATAGTTGACAAAAGTGATAATCCCTGTGTTGAGGGAGCGCTTGGTACTCTGATACATCCCTTGGACAGTTTCCGTGTAAGTCTTAAACTTTTCGCATATGCCACCCGACGCACCGGAAGCACTAGCCACCCACGCGAGACCAAGGGTTCCGCCTGTGAAGTCCCGATAGGTAAAGACGTACGCCAAACAAAAGTCCTCGTGGTTTCCGAGCGAATGGATGTTCAAAAAGTTGCTCACATCGATGTTCTCCATGCAGAATTGATTCACTTCGCAATTGTTCGTGCACCGACATGACGAATCATCATCAATCTGCAACGAGATATAAATATCAAAATCAATTTAGAAGAATGGCTGCGGAAATGTTACCTTTATCCTTTGCACTTCGAATTTTATGTCGCGATGTTCGACTTTCCCGTCGAATTTCGTATCGCGATAGATGTAGTTTACGGCAGTGACGTGTTGGGCAATAAGGGAAAGTATTTCCTCCCGTGTTTTGTCGTTTACTTCGCTTTCCTTCTTTGGATCCAAGTGCTACAACATAAATCAATCTATTCATCGTCATCCTTTAAGGTTCCGCATCTATTACACCAAGTTTTTGCAAATATGGAAACATTCTGCTTGGCATAAACGCACTTTAAAAATTTGTTTAAATAAATGACAAACCTCTGGAAAACTCTCTCTAATATGCCTCCATATCAGAGGATCCGTTTGAATGTAAAGCGAGCAAGTCTTTTTGTTTTCGTCGCCACGGCGCGTCGCACGCCTGGCGCGATGATGCTCGTCGTTGGCGAGCCTCGAATACTTGTTAAGGCCATTTTCGTAATTGGCGGAATTAATCTCAGTGGGATACGTCGGATTCGCCTTCTTGTGCTTCTTTTTTGTTGGCGGAGGCGCCGGAGACTCGTCCTCCACCGCTGAGTTTTGCACGTTCGTCATCCATTGTTCGACGTCGTCGGAAACGCCGCATCCACTCGAATGACCTAAATACCGCACGAAATAAACAATGTACCATATTAGAGAATCTTTACATATTGATTAGACTCACCCGTCCTATTATTTTGATATGCATCAATCACGTGATCATCATGATAAATAACCGAATGGAATGTCTGATTTGGATGCGTATGATGCGGGAAGTAGTGATGAGCCTTCTCGACAAAATAGTCGCCCTTTGGTGACAGAATGCGCCCTTCGAAGACGCCATCAATGAGCGAACCGAACACAGTCGAGTTGGCTTCACCTGTAGCAAGAAGATAAAGAATCAATAAACACAAAGCAGTTAATTAAAATAAATCATTCTTGAATGGATCCGCGATAAATCCGATACTTTTAATTCTTCTTCAATTAAGCTACTTCACTGTGCTTTCATCCACTCAATGAACCTGAATCACTTTTTGTGATTTATTACCGATTAGTTTGTATATCTCAGGAAGAAGAAAATAGCAAGTGACTTGAAAGAGGAAGCGCGTCATCAATCATACTTAACGCGAGATAAATCTACGACGCCGCCGGAAAAACGGAAGCAGGAAAGCACGGAAAAAGTGTCCAACCAGCCTAGAAGCGCAAAACTCGCCTGTTTGTCCCATATTTTTATTTCTATATCTCTAAAGTTTCAGACTCCATTAGGTAAGGAATCTACCATTGCATTCAAACCAATTTGGAATGTCACAATGAATCGCAAAATTTAATTCGCAAAAATTTTGATAGAATTTCAAAGAAGCAATCACGTATATTGCTTTTCAAGATATAAGGAATTAATTTCTGTTGCCTGTTACACAATTCGCTGCTCAATATGTGTAAATCGATTACAAGGTTATTGTTATAATAGCGACTTGTGTAGGTAGTTACGTGTATTGTTAAAACGTTTCATATGCTCTTGGGTTTCAATTAAAAAATGAGATATATTCATGCGCCAGTAAGCATTATAACAAATTGCATTGCCCTGTTGTCAGTATCAAGTAATGAGACTTAAGTAGTTACGCATCGGTGCGCTCACCGCGTGTTGTTTGGAATTTAATCGGAGTCGAAATGTAATCGCCAAAACAAAAACAATCGGAAGAAACATTGAAACCTTGAAATATCGCAATCAGCAAGAAATAAAATAATTAACTTGTTCAAAATGTAAATTCCCAAACAAAAAAAAAAACTTATTATTATTTTAATCAGATTAAAAAATTCATAATTATTTACCTATAAGATGACCGTGGTAGATGTGTGACGCATCAACATGGATGGGCTTTCCATGAGTGTCGTGCACCTCGAGGACGTCGGCGAAGACGCCTAGGTCGCGTCGTAGCCGCATGTGAAAGTGGCGGCCGTAGGCGCGAAAAGCCACGTGTACTTGGTGATCGCGCGTCACGGAGCGGCGGGCACGCAAATGCGCCCTGTGCACGTCCGCCCTATCGTAGGACAGCGGCTCGTAGTGCGTGATGTACTCATTGAGACGATTCGCTGCAACAAACAAAAAAATAAACATTAATTACATACTTCTGCATCCAGCCAAGTAATGCAACTACCGGTGCAACTTGCAATATAAATCAATTTAGAAACATTCCCGGAGAAATTCCGATATTAAACACAGAACAAGGTCATGAAGAGGATGAAACATGAGCGCAGAAGAGGGATGCGCTGCTGAGAATTAAATAGTTTCCCAACAAGTTTGCACAATTTTAATGATTTAAGGCCGAATTTGCGTGCGATACAAAGTAGCGATAATGATGATGAAAGGGATTACCGCCGTGTGCGGAATTACGGATGTTCGAAACGTTGTTTGTAACCATGTCGCGACCAAATTTCAGCACGCACAATGAGCAATAATGATTAAGCCCACAAATACAAGGCAATTTATTGTCGATTTAATATTTGCTCAAATCAAATCACTAATAATATTTCGATATTTTAACATTTGATTGCAATCCCGCATGTAATCAACATTCAACGGTAAACTCATGAGAATTGTTCTTAAAAATAAAAAATAAAACATTGCTTCAAGTCGTAAATTTTCCGCGAAATTATTACAATTAAGTCGTGCAACCGATTATTCTGGATTTCCACTAATTCAATTACTGCATTCCTTGGAACAGCAACATCATACTTGTTCAAACTTCAGCTATCATTCTTGCTACGTACCAGGTAATATACTAACGCAAATTCGTAATAACCTTGCTAGTTCTTGTTTATTTTCTGAGTAATACGGGCAAGGTTTCTAGTAATAAGCTTATGCATGGATATATATTATTCTCTGAATTATATATGAATTTATAATGAAATTATTTTAACGTAAAACATACTGCACACTAGAAAAACAATACAGTGAAATATAGTATAAAGTTAAACAAAAAGACTAAAAAAATATTAAAAATTTAACACATTGTAAAAAATTACATTTTTATATTCTCTCGCACTTTATATTTATATTTACTTATACTGTTAACGTTGACAATATGTTAGTACTCCAAAAAACGTTTTGGTGTCAAAATCAGGCCAACAGGACAAGAGGGCAATGAAATGAAGTGAATCGGCGGAAATCTCTCGAGGATAAACCGAGTAGCTCACTTACAAGATGCACATTTACTCCTACGCGACGCCGGCAAACACAAACAGAAGTATTTTGAATCCGAAACGAAGATGTTCCGTTGTGTGCTTAAAAGTTAATGAAACTATAAGTACCTCTAATAAGGTCACAGCCACTCGACTCGAATGTTCAATTTATAATTCACTTCAATCCATAATCCGGCACAAGTTAACTCTGAGCACAATTTAGCGAGTGTAGAAGTTGAAATTAACCTAAATATCATTAAATGTTAGTTCAATTAGTGAAGAACGTAATGATTATAATTATATACAATCATAGCTTATAATTGATTAGTTGAAAAAAACCTTTTAGTATCCAATTGGAATTTTACAAAATTCCAAGATTATAAGTAACAAAATAAAATTGTTACTTACATTATTGGTGATTGAATAATTAATTAACGAACGTAACTATTGTCCTGCGGCTAGTAACGGCGCAAGTACTTTTTATTCATTGTTTCCCGTTTAAAAACATCTCCTTGTCCTTTATTCAATTTCCAGTAATTTTCTTATTTCGCTTAATTTACTTCCTTCGAGCTGGTAACGGGCATACTCCACGTGCGTGGAAGAGCGAAAATACGCTAGCATACTACAATGAAAGAACTCCCGCGCCTCTCGCGCCTGATTGAAATTTATTTCCGCGGAGCATCCCGAAAATGCCATTTATTCATTAAGCGTCTTAATTAGAAGCAGCAGCAGCGGGCGAATAACTCGAGATTCGCACCGAACTCTTGCCAAGCGTCCAAAAAAAGAAGAAGAAAAAGCGAATGCATTAGTCCGAACTCGTTATCATCGCAAAGACAAGAAACGGCGAGGTGACGGGGACAAGGACCAGGAAGACGAGTAATCAGTACAACCGCCGTTTTAATGAGTCGATAAAGCGCGCCTAAGTTAATGCAATTTCCCAATGCAATTAGACACCTTAAACGCAATTATATATTTAAAACTTTCAAATAATCCAATGGATTATAACTAAATGAATGCCAATAGGAATTTAAATTATAAATGAAGGTACAATGCGCACGGACAATAAAAACCAATAGATTGTCGTTTTATAACTCGTTTTATAGGCATTGCAAATGTAAATTATTTATGCAAATCCACAAATGACGCCGGGACAAGCGGCCGAAGCACGTGCGCACATCCATTACGCGCGTTTTTAGCTTTATTTATATTTTTATATATTTTCCGGTGCCATTACCGCAATGACAGCGACACAATATCCGCCGAGAGTACTCCAATCGAAAGAGTTATTTAATTCGCATTTTTGCATCGAATTTAAATATTTACAGCGCTGTTTTTGCAATTTTTATTAAACTCGTGCAAACACACGTAAATATAAACAAATAATCCACAGGTATAATTTATTTATTATATACTTATTATAGAACTACTTCGGTGTAAAAATAGTTATAAAATGTGCATCACTTCTTTAAATCGGAGTAAATTCAGAGAAAATATATCGATATTAAGCGAAAATGAAAATATTTGATGTTTGCACATAAACCAGAGAGCTTTACTGCATTCAACACGTGCTTGATTACATAAATTGCATTATGAGTCATACGTTGCACACTTCAAGTCTCATTAAGTGCATAGTATTTTCTTTTATTACAAACATTGCAAAAAAAAAACACAGTGCCCATAACATTGCACAATTTACGCAAGCAGCGTAATATAACAGCACGCAATTATTGCTAAATCGCCGACAATAAATGATACACTTTCACCGTTGCGAGCATCGTCGAGTTATTGCCGTTGCTAAATTGTTAACGACTTTGAAAAATTAGTCAACTCGCTTTTTACGTTTTTTACTCAGTCCGAACTAAGTAAAAAACTCTGTCAACCAGTAAATTCAATTGTTGTTGATTCGCGGAATAGACGCACAGAATACTTTCGATAGAAGTGAAATTTTTTGCACTAGACATGAAATGAAATCTTAACGTTCGCGTGGTTTCAGTGAAAACCATAGAAAATTGAAACCCGTCTCGAATAAAGTGAAACCCCAGCCATTTTCCAACGCAATTGAGCGCGTAGAAATCGCAAATCGAGTTTTGTGTGCATCGCTGCGATTTATCCGCTAATTGGACACTTGAAAAAAGCCATTAAAACACGTCCACTAATTAAACCGGCGCGTTTTTAATTATATTTAGCACGTTTTTTTGTCGTACTGGTGTCGCCGCGTTCATCGTTGCACTATTGCTTTCATCCAGTAATTAAAAGGCGTGCATCAGAGCTTTAGCGCATGTTTTTGATGAATTTAGAAATGTCCACCAAACTGCGTTTATATTTTAAATATAAACTCACAAATAATACAAAGAGGTCACAACGAATATGAAAAACATGCGGACAAAGTTGACAACCACCCATTTTTCATCAAGAGAATATTTGTTTTCGACGTAGGTATAATTTTGTAATTTGGTTGAACGCAATCGAGAATGATGAGAATACCGGTCGGTGGAATGTATGAAGTTTTCGAGTTTTATTAATTATATTTATCGAGCGATCAGCGCGCGTTGTGGTCGCGTTGCATGCGGTTGGCCGTTAATTACGAATAAACAGTACAATTTCCAATCCGGCCCATTCATAGCGTTAATTACGGTTCAATAATATGGATAATTGAATAAATAGGATTGTGGGGACACCGCTCCAGTTTCCACCGTCACAAACCAACATGAATATAAATATTTATAATTATAAAATTAAAACCCAAACCACAAAAGTTACAAGTTATAATTTGTAATAAATCATAGGAATAAAAATGAAATAATTCCAAAACAACAATCAAAAAATAAATACAAAAATTCCAAATTATTGATCCAATATAGTTCAGAAATTGAACCAGCAGTATGTGTTCAATTATAGCTAAATAAATAGGCCTACGAGTTGCAGAGTGTGTGCAATCGATGGAATCGGCAAAGTAACGCCGATACGTAAATCGATTGGCTTCGGCTCGTTCATCGCAAATGAGAGAGCTGGAAGTTATTGCTTCGACGGCTCCATGTGCAATAGTACACGCCGACCGGTAATAACAAATTGAAGGAAATAATGCAAACTCGATGAAAACGCGCGACGCGCCGACCCAGATATTCAATCAGACGATTAATGCGCCTTTTTACGGCTTGGGAAGCACTACAGCAAGTTACAGCATGTTTTATATATCCATTTAACCAAAAATGAAGAAAAAAAATCGATAATGATAATAAGTCTTTAAAAAGCGAGATTTACTTTTCATCACCCCTTTATCAATCAATAAAGATCTAATATGAGTGCAACAGGTCAGTGGATCACTTGATTATGAATGATTGAGGTGTAAGTAATTGAATGACGTTTTGCGTCTCTACTTGCAGATCGCGTGTTGCAAGAATAAACGAAACTGCACCTGAGAACCGAGACTTTGAGACCATTTTCACTTCGCGCATACGGGCCGCGAGTGTTCCTAACACGCACGCCTCTAGACGTGTTCATTACGTGTTCTTACTTAATCTCTATTTTCAAGTCATGAACTTTGAATTTCTAGAACTTTCCGCTGAACACAATGACTCAAACACGAAGCAAACTCGGCTTTACAATGATAACTATCTGGTATTGCATATGAATTCAGCTAACACTATATATAAACCAGTTGGATAAATATCTGCACACTCTGTATACTATTTCCGTTTTGTTGATGATGCCTGTGATGAGGTTAAAGTCGATTCGATGTTGACGTGTCGAGTGTGAAATTTCGGTAAATACACGACAGAAATTCGGAATCGTCGCCATGGGATTATTGCCGTGCCGATGTCTCGGAGACTCAAGGCAATCGTTCGGTTCGTTGGAGGTTAATGAAGTTTTAATTGCACCGGTTTTCGGCATCGCGCGCGCGCTCGTGTTTA